TCAGTCAGGCTCTCTTTATAACTGGGGAGGAGAAGCTGTCCCTTTTAGCGCATGGTTCATCATCACCTTGGACTAAATGACGGACATAGGCCAGAAAGACTGCACCCTAGATCTGTGTGTTTCTCTCCACTGATGATAAAAGAAGTCCTGACAGCTAGAGCAGATGTGGATACATAAGGTTATGTGAGATTTTGCCCTTGTCCTACTGCTGTTCACTATTTCTAGACATTGCTGTATTGCTCTTCACTTTCTGAGGTCATTACACATTGTTTCTTTGAATTTTAAAGATTATTCCAAAAAATGCTCTTAATGCCTTTTTTTGCCATGTGATAAGTTACTGTTGGATGTGCGAAGTTACTTTTTCTCAGCTTTTAGCAAAGCCATGACAGTTTTCATGAATCCAGAGATGTTTTTTATTTTTGGATGACTCCCTCTAATTGATTATCTAAATAAAATTTGCAATTGCATTGTTAAATACATGGGAAATAGCCACCGTTTTTCTTTTCCTAGATTTGAAATAACTGAATTTAAATGATTGTAAGTTGTTAATATTCTGTATGTAATCTGTACATTCTCCTTGCTACTGGCTTTTCTTTAAAGGATAGAAATTAATAAACATGATTTTTAAAAAGCCATTTCAGTAGCAACTTTTCTGCAATAATAAGCAAGGAAGTTATGATACTCCCAACAGAATGTGTTACTAACCAGTCTGCCTTGACATACTAAGGGTAGTAACTTTGTACTTGATGCTTTATGCAAACTGTAATTATTATAGATACAAGTTCGTCAAAGATAAGCTATGCTAATACTGAAAATGTACAACAGAGTTTGTGAGGTTACTTTCTATTCTTTCTTAAAAGGTCTTGTAAACCTCTTTGAGATAGAACAAGATTTACTGCTGTTTAAGGTTTTATGAAGCTGATCTAGAGAGCATTTTCTTTAGATATTGAGAATTCTTTTCTATGCTATATATTAAAAGGGGATTATCTTCTGCAGAATTTACCTTCTGTGCTGTGGGCTATATAGGGGCTATCTGCAGTGTTTTGCCACACAGATACCATTTTAGATGTCAATTTTTTTGTATACAAGTACAGGCATGCAGAAGCTTTAGACAACATTAGCTGCACAAACAAAATGTGACAATCAAAAAGGCTTTGTTTTATTATTATTTAGAAAACAGAATTTCAGTAGTAAAGAAAAGAGTGTTTGATGAAAGAAGCTGGCATTGAACAGAAGCATCTGCATGTTTCTGTAGAAATTTTGACATCTGTGCTTTGCTTCCATCCTTCTCAGCAAATGTTCATATTTGCTGAAAAGGTGATTATAAGCAGCTAGGAAGAGAGAATAAAATAGTTGATAATAGCAGTGCTCCAACTGAGGGGGTGTACCTCCTAGAAGATGATACTACATTTCAATTTCTTCCTACGCTGCTTTGAGGAAAAAAAAACCAAAAAATCAGTTTGACAGTAATTTTGTTTTTGTACAAGAAAATATAATTTTTTTCTCTCTTCCTCATTTAAATGTGTGTGCACATTTAAACACTTAAATAAGAGTTCAAGCACTCTGCGTGTCTAACATAGAATAATATACAGTGCTTTTGCTTTTTTATACTGGCTTCTTAGGCTGACTGAGGTATTGCGAACAGACAAACACATAGAGCCAATTCTTTGGCTAGGCTATGGTGCCATGGTTATGTTAACTTTAAACAACACATGCCTGTTGGGATCAACTAGGTTCTATCCTAGAGTATTTTTACCTAATTGCCCTGATTTCAGAGAATACTATTCTACTATTTTAGAATACTATGTATTCTAAAAGAATGCTTCTTTTAGAGCTATTACTGTAAACTAATTACCTGTTTAAGATTGATAAAGGAGCACGTGGGCATAATGTAATACGTCACTTCCAGTTAATATCTATCTTTAATCATTTAATAATGAAATGCTATGTCTGCTTTTAAATGTTTAATCAGGAAAGGAAAATCCTCTCTCCCAGGTTGGCATGCACAGTATCTGTCGAAGGCAGAAGAACCACATTTCTAGAGATGAAATTTAAACCATCACACTGGCCCCTCATTTTTAAAGGCCAGATTCTTCTTGCCCATTGGTATATTGAAAGTACTTGTCCCCATGTTGTGCAGGTAGGGATAACAGGAGAAGTCAAGGAGAATTACAGCCTTGTGCTTAGCAGAGGGCAGATAGTTATTGAAGGCCTGGTTTGGGGGAGTGGAGCTAAAGGCTGATCCTGGCATCTCTCTGTCACGGCCAGTGAAGTGGGAGACATGGCTGTATGGCAGAAGTCACCTGCACCTCTCAACTGACTCTGTGTGCCTGGAAACCCTTTGCTGACTCTGTTTTTAAGAGCCTACTGTTACTGCGTATTGTAATCCATTGTAAAGCTGGTTTTGTCATTGAATATTTGTGGTAGGCTGAGGGGTTCTTTTAGTATGTTTGGTTTAGTTTTTCTTTCCTTCTTTTTTCTCTGTCACCACCATATTAAGAGGAACTAAGGCTATAATTTCACTTGAAGAGAAATTGGGAAACCAACATACAATGAGGAACTCTTCATTTTCAGGAGTATTGTATAGAAGTATCGTTTCCTTTCACACAGAAGCTATTTCTGAGGACAGAGAAATACATCATGAAAAGTGCTAATAGTTTATTTAAATAGTTTTACTATCAGTTTTAATAGACTGTAGTACATCTTTTTAATTCAGTTGACAAAATGTACATGTACACTTAATATTTCATTTGATGTTTTGACTTGAGAGAATTGGCATCTCTCAGGTTTCTGCAGTCTGCACAATTCTGTTTACATGAGAAAAATATTTTTTCTGCTGCTGCTTTTGAGATAGAAATGGATATTAAGAAGTTCCGTGTTTTTAAAAACTGAGAAAAATGGAATCGGACAGTGAAATGCTGACTGTTTCCTAACATAAGACGACTGACATGTGAAAGACTGAGTGCTTGGTGTATACAAAGTTTTTTCTCATATGCTCTGTTCCCAGTCTTTAATCAAATTTCTTCTTTCAGTGATGCTTATGACTTTTGTAAAACATTTAAAAAAAAAAAACTTTTGTAACACTTCTTCAAAAAAGAAATTGAATCGGGTGAATGCAATCTCGTTTGCTGATATTGAGATGTGAAGTCAAGTATTTTAAGGGCTAATATACATTATTGAGTGAAATCTTCCCGTATTTTTTCTGTTTTGCCACGATTTATCTTTTATCTGGAAACACAGCAAAGTTTAATAACCTAATTTGCTCTGAATAAATTTTGAGTCTGTAAACTTCAGCATATATAATCAGAGCAATCAGTTTGGTAAAAATGTTATCATAGCGTGCTGAGAAATTTCTGGAAGAGATATACAAATAGTATTCAGTCCTAAGAAACATGTGTCAGGGTGTATCGTTTTACTTTAATGACTCCTGGGAAACAATGCTATTCATTTTTTTTGACACCGTCAATTGATCTTTATGAATGGCTATGTCTTGATATAAATGTAACATTCCGTTACTTCTTTGGCATGGACCTTGTCCTATTTTTATGAATGTACAAAAGAAGTGCCTGGATCTTTTTTTTTCTTGGAAGCTGTGCTAGAACTGCTTTTATGGGATGCTGAATTTGTGTGCTATTTTATATCTTACAGCCTGAGGAGCTGCTTCTGTGTATGCTTAGTAAGCTTTATAGCATCTTTGCTGTCTGTAAAACCAGTGAAACTACTTTTTCACTCATGCTAGAAAGCACGGAAAATGTTCTTAACTTTATTTGTTGATGGTGTGTTACTGCATAGTCACAATCATACAGAGATGGAATTCAACAATTAAATGCCATAACAATTAGGTTCAAACATAATTGTTTGTGCTGGATCAGTAGGTCCCAGGTATTGTGCCAAATACAATTAGGATTTTTCCTTTGATGGACACATGAGATAAAATCCTTTTCTGGATGTAGAAGGTGAATTAGAGTTATCTAAATGCATTACAAACCTATCTTTTTGTACTTCAATCTGAAGTAATTCCTGCATAGTGTTTTTGAAAAGATTTAAATTAGATTTTCAAAGTATGGAAGAAATTACAATGTGTGTTTGTTCTGGATGAAGTATGTACAATTTGACTTCAAATAGTAAGGTAATTTAAATAACGAGTTCTGATCTAGTTGCTGAGAAGTGTATTTTCAGGAGTCAGTACTCACAGTACATTTCTGTTACTTCTAAACTTGAGTCTTCCCTTTGACCAGGTAATGTAGTCTTCTGAGATTTGCCTTAAAGTAGGATTTGAGATGTCTTCCAACTCAGGTCCTGAAATATATTTATTCCTATCTAGTCCTTGCCATAAGTTCAGATGATGTGTCTTATTCCCGGTAGCTGTATCTCAAAGCTCTAGATCCTTCCTTCATTCTCCACTTTTTAACAGGCAAGGTCTCCAACATGTTGCTGTACACATTATTTTTATTTCAGAAATGCTGTTTGATGCATTTTTATCCCAAGACAATAATAGTATGTGTGTGTGTGTTCGTTATTTTTTGTTTGGTTTTGAAATATGGAGCTTAGTTTTTCTGTTAATGTTGAGCTGCTTCTAGTTTATGCTATAGCGAAAGCAAAGTTTAATCAACACTTACATTGCTGTAGTGTTTCTTCTCCTATGGTGGATTTGATTGAGTCAGACTTTCTCTTACCTGACAAATAAATGAAATGAAGAGCAGCAGGTCTCAATATAGAGAGTCTTGTGGAAGTGTGGTGACCATTTATAAAATCAGGAAGTGAATAATCTTTTGTAAATAGCTGGAACAGGTAAGCTGATTCATTAATTTATTCCTCAGATTTTGTCTTGCTGTCTTTATTGTATGTATTGTCTGATCTTAAGTATCCACCTACAACAAAAGCCAGCAGTGAATGATGCAAGCGCTGACTATCTATTTGGAGTAAGAATTTTCAGCAACTTGGCTCCACAACATATCTGACTGTATAGCATGTGGTAGAATGTTCATCTGTGTTTTCAGGTGCACTACAATGTTGGCAAAAACCTGGCTGACAAAGGAAATCAAAGTGCTGCAATCAAATACTACAGAGAAGCTGTAAGGTATTAGTAATTTTACTGCTTTAATGAACTATCCTAAAATTGCTTTCATGTTTAACATGGAATAAATGCTTAGGTATTCATTTTCAATGGTCTGCAGCATTGCAGAGCTAGCAATTTGTATATAGTAATACATGTCCCATACATAACAATAATCTCTTAAATTTTAAATTTTAGGTTGAATCCTAAATATGTACATGCCATGAACAACCTTGGAAATATTCTGAAAGAAAGAAATGAGCTCCAAGAAGCAGAGGAGTTGCTGTCCTTAGCTGTACAAATACAGTATGTTTAGAACAATGCTAAGCAGTGTTTTGCACCAACTGAGCAGAAATGATACAATAGGATCTTGTGTTCCAAATGCTCAATTGTCCTCTCTCTTGGTTTTTTTTCCCAATTTGCCCAGACCTGATTTTGCTGCTGCATGGATGAATCTAGGAATAGTACAGAACAGTTTAAGAAGGTTTGAAGAGGCAGAGCAAAGCTACTGGACGGCAATTAAACACAGGAAAAAATATCCAGATTGTTACTACAATTTAGGGCGGTTGGTAAGTGCTTTTGAATAAATGATAGCTATGACAGTAATCTGTGTGTGTGTAGATATATATATGTATATAATTCCGCTGTACTGTGAAATGCTGATAGTTATTCCAGTTCGCTTCATTTGTAGTTCAGGGTGATTTCATATTTTCGGTAGCTTTTCCTGTTGCTTTCCCAGTATACTTCCTTCCATACAACCTTTGGTAGTCCTAGTTTTTCATATAAAGAGGTATAAAGAAAAATATAGATTGTGATCTTTTGTTCAAAATATATTATTAATAATTTCCCAATATTAGACTGTTTTGCAGTCATTAGTTTATTGTTAGGTAGTAGAACCATGCAAAAAAATCCCATTTAGATCCTTGGAAATATTTATATTAAATATTTACTTATTCTCTTGTGTAGATTTCTAAATTGTATGCTGGTTTTCCTCCCTAGCCTATTGGTACATAGAAAACAAGCCTGGGTCCCAGCAAAAAGCAGGGTAAAATTAGTATATAGCACTCTATCTTCCATACTACCCTAGTATTCTTTTTACATTTCTTGTTTTTGACTATAAAAACAAGTTCTACTGGAATGGAATGAAATATTAGCAACTCTTTAGTGTCTTTAGTGCATGACAGGAAAGTAAAACAAATCAGAGTGAAATTACTGAGGTTTTCTTTCTTTTTAGTATGCAGATTTGAATCGGCATGTAGATGCATTGAATGCATGGAGGAATGCTACAGTTCTGAAACCAGAGCATAGTTTGGCTTGGAACAATATGATTATATTGCTTGATAATACAGGTATAAGCCCATTTGAATGTTTTAATTAATAATTCAGTGTCTTGTAGAACTTAAAGCCTTATCCGTATTCATCTAAAAGGAGTTCTGCTTCTTCTTTGGCTACACAGACGCTCTCTATAAATATAAGAATACCTTCTGAGTCAATGGTTTTAAAGCATCACTTGAAATCCAGCCCATAAATTGCATTTCTGATCCTTATTTGAAATGCCATCATTGTGCAAACATGTTTGTATTATAGACCAAACTTCAGAACTTTTGAATCTGTGCTTTGTTGTTCTTCTGAAAGTGTTTTCTGTTGAAAACAAAATGGAGGTTTTCTATTGTCTTATTCTGCAGGGTTTTACATTTGTGTGTGTGTCATACCTGATTTTCTTTAAAAATGCATGTAATTGGCCATTCATACAGTATGAGTGCTTGCAGCATGAAAAGTAACTAATAAGGCTGTGTTAAAAGATGCTTTCTCTTTTTCCACTACATGGGCTCCCAGGCAATCTAGCTCAAGCAGAAGCAGTTGGAAGAGAGGCCCTGGAATTAATACCTAATGATCATTCCCTTATGTTTTCATTGGCAAATGTACTGGGGAAATCGCAAAAATATAAGGTAGGTAACTAGAGCCTTCCCAGTGTTGGTTGTGTTTTGTTTTGGGTTTTTTTTCTGTTTAAACTCTGTGTAAGTTTCTGTAGAAAATGTTCGAGGAGGTCATTGTGGACTATGACTTAGATAATGAGGATTCAATGCCCGTTTCTGTCACAGTATTGCTGTGTGATTCTGGCCTAAGTTCATCCCACCTTATTTTAAATGCCTGTGTTAGGAATGTGGCTGCCCTAAATTATGTCAGTGGTCAGTGGAGAGAAATAGGCTCTTAAGCACACTAGAGGGCAGTTAGGGTCTTGTATTGCTTCACTGCCGACAGAGAGAGCCTGCTCTGATTTAGAGGTCTTGGTTCAGGAACTAAAATCAGATGTGATATGCTAGTCCTTGTGCTTTTTGTATGTAAAGGTTTGCTATTAGCCGATACTAATTCTAGCCTCTTTGCTTCAGACGCTTTTTAAAATAGAGATATTACAGATTTGCTAATCCCAGATTGAGGATGGGACACCTGGGTAATTCCAGAATATTATGAGGAGAAAGTCCATACGTTGAGCAATGTATTGAACTTTCTCTTGGATGCAGTGGACCAGCCTGCGAGTGGTACCTCAGCATTAGCTACTTGCTTTACAAGTAGTAAATGTAATGGAACTGATGAGAATGACTTATTTTCCAACAGGAATTGTATGAGCTGACAGAGAATAAATCATACACAGTTAATACACTTAGTTGTTTTAATTGACTCCATAGTCACTGATTTATGTATGTGATAGGGACAAATTAATAATCAAGAAAGTTTTTGGTATTCCTCGGAAAAACATAATTCACTGAACTATGGCTTTCGGGGGTTTTGATGGCTTTTTGATAGTGATAATGTTAACAGCACTGAAGGAACATCCTGAGTATAGGCAAAGTAAGAAGATGTTATGATGTTAAACTTCTCAGAATAGATACATTTTTCCACCAATTACTGTGTCCACTTAAATTTCTACAATCCTGTTCAGCTGTGGAGTCATGACCTGTCCACATGTGGAGCCAGGGCCTGTGACAACCCAGCACTTGCTTTTGTTTGTGTAAGTGATGCCATTAGACACTCCCCTGTTACTGTTTCTCTAGGCTGGCTGGGATTTTTTTCTGTACGCTCTCTTTTTTTTTTCTCTCCACCTGAGACTGTTATAAAATACATATTTTAGGTTACTTTAACAAAGTTCCAGAAGGATAGAAATTAACATCCAGAATGTATAAGGGATGAGATTATAGAGGAGGTAATTGTTGGGATTATTTTGGTGAGTCATGACTGTGAAAGAATAGAGGATTGTATAGTTATTCATTAAGAAGAGTATGCAGCATGACAGAATAAAGAGCATTTATAATGAAATAAGTAGAAAAAATAAGTTGAAAACAAGCTAGAAAACTTTTACAGGTGTAGGAGAAACAAGTCTGTCTTAGTGGGTTTAAAAAATAAAAAAGGAGGTAGTGATTTTGATTGCTAGCTCTGAAAGGTCATTACGCTGCCCGGGAATGTGTTGGAGACAAAGTAGAAATGATAGTAGGGGAAAATGAAGCTTTCAAGTCAGCATCCTGAATAAAGCAACAGGAGCAGTGGAGCCCAGGGAAGAAAGCAGGGAGCCAATGAGTGTTTAAATAGTTCAATGTGGAATAGTAGGTTTGCATAGAGCAAAAAACTTAACTGGTAACTTGAAATTGATGGGTTATAACAGGGAGAGCAAATTAAGGGAATTGGAAAGTGGACTCACTTAGAAAAGGTTATGATCTCAGCACCTGTATTTTGCATTGCCTGGAAAGAGGAGATACAGGTTTTTTAAAGTGGGAGAATGCTAAATGGCAATAAAAAGCATGGAAAATTCAGATTTCTACCCTTTCACCATGTAAAAACAGAGAGAAGTGGATGGCTCTTTAAGGATTTTTATTGAGTGTTCAGATGGGAAGGGAGGAGGAGGGGGGATGGAGACTGCCAAGGTGATGGAGGTAATTTTCAGAGGGCTGCCTGGCTGTGTCTGATGTGTTGTATAACCTCAGGCATTTCATTTGTTAGGTTACTTATTATGTGTCTGTATAAAAGTTGTTACTGTATTGGCTCTGTTGCCATAAAGTAAGATTTGTTCTGGGGTTTTTTGTTATCTCTTATTTTAAAAGACATTGAGTCAAAAAGGTTTTACTATGTTATGAGAGATTTCCTTCCAATAAGCACACAATATTCTCCTTCACTTTCAAATGCACTTTGATTTTCAGCAGAAGACGGTTTTCCTAAGTGACCAAAAAAACCCCAACCCTTTATGATTTCTGTTTGTATCTACTCATGAATGATTTATTGTTCCAGAAACAAAAGCACATCAAGGATGAGCTGTTTTGGTGGGTTTGTTTTGTTTTTTAATTAACATCTGTTATACCAAGCTAGAGATCTCCTTTAAATTATTGTTCTTGTCACAATGGATGAAGAACTTAGTTCTTTGAAAATATGTATGCTGTATTTTTGTTATGTATACATCTATGCTTTTTCTGTAAAAAGAACAATAAATTAAAACGAGTCAGCATTTTTTGTATTTGAAATAAAGCCAGACCACAATTTTGTGCTGTGGCCTTGGCAGCAGATGGAATGCAGTGTGCTTATCCAAAGCCTTTGCTATACACAGTGTGCAAGTTTCTTGGCAACACTTAAAGATTTGGCAAGACAAAGCAAATTGAAGTATCACCGGATGTACTAGAATGTATATTTACTCCATATATCTACAGTAATATGAATATTATGCACCTTAAATAGCCTTTAATCAGTATTCTAGTAGCTCCTGAGCAAAGCAGTGGTGATAAAAATGTTTTCAACATGTAGTTGAAGATGTATGGTAATGGCAGCCAACTCTGAGAATCTATTTCATTAAATTTTCTGGGAATGCACATATTGTCCCATCGTGCTACAGCAGTGAAAGGATGAGTCCGTACATTAGGTGCTTCTCCTTTGTGTAGGTGGCAACTTTTAGGCATAAAACTGAATTAATTGGACAGCACATCTTTCACTTTGATTGTTGTTAACCCCAGTGAAGAGAGCAGAGATTTACTTATTAGACCAAAATACTAAAATTTGCAGTAGAAAAAAATACTTTGTGGGACTTCTGACTACTACATGCTTTTAAGTGCCAATCCACTGTTGATTTTTAGGCTTAGAAGGTTGTATGAAAAGAGAAGGTTATCTTGTAACACCACTAGACTTGCGAAATGTTTTTTTCTCAGGTATGTTTCTCAGGTGACTGACTTAGAATCATAGAATAATTTTGACTGGAAGGGATGTCCAGAGGTCATCTAGTCCAACCCCTGACCTAAACCAGGGCCATCTCCAGTTGAATCTTGAACACCTCTACGGATGGAGATTCTAAAACCTCTCTGGACAGCATCTTCCAGTGGTTGACCACCCTTGTGGTAAAAAAGAAAAAAAAAAATTGTTTCCTTTTATCGAATTGGAATTTCCCGTATGCCAGCTTGCATCCATCATGTCTCATCCCATCTCACAGACTTCTGAGAAGAGTCTGTGTCCATCTTCTCTGTATCATCTGATCAGGTACTTGTAGATAGCAATAAGGTCTCTCCTTCATCTTCTCTTCTGAAGGCTGAAGAGATACAGTTCTTTCAGCTGCTCCTTGTATGTCTTGTGCTCCAGCCCCCAACCATCTTGGTGGCTCTCTGCTGGACTTATAAAGTATGCCCATGTCTTTCCTGTAATGGAGAGCCCCAACCTGAACACATACTCCAGATGTGGTCTCGCAAGTGCTAAATAGAGGAGAAGGATTACTTCACTGGACCTGCTGACTATACTTCTACTTAATACAGCCCAGGATGTGGTGGTTCGTCTTTGCTGTAAGGGTACACTGATGGCTTTTATTCAATTTGCTGTCTACCAGGCCCACCAGATCCATTTCTGTAAAGCTGTTTCCTAAACAGTTGCCCCCAGCCTGTACTTTCGCATGGGGTTATCCCATCCCAGATACAGGACTTTGCATTTACTCTTGTTGAACTTCATGAGATTCCTGCAGTCCAATGCTGTTCAACATCTTCATTATAGATCTGGATGATGGGGCAGAATGCACCCTCAGCAAGTTTGCAGATGACACAAAACTGGGAGGAGTGGCTGATATGCCAGAGGGTCATGCTGCCATCCAGAGGGACCTCGACAGGCTGGAGAAATGGGCTGGTAGGAAACTCATGCAGTTCAACAAGGGGAAGTGCAAAGCCTTGCACCTGGAGAGGAACAAGCCCAGGCACAGTACATGCTGGGGGCCACCCAGTTGGAAAGCAGCTTGGCAGAAAAGCACCTGAGGGTCCTGGTGGACACCAGATTGATTGAACATGAGCCAGCAATATACCCTTGTGGCTAAGAAGGCTAATGATATCCTGGGCTGTGTTAGGAGTGTTGCCAGCAGGTTGAAGGAGGTGATCCTTCCTCTCTACCGGCCACAGCTGGAGTCCTGTGTCCAGTTCTCAGAGAGCCATGGACATACTGGAGAGAGTCCAGCAAAGGGCCACGAGGATGATGAAGGGACTAGTGCATCTTTCCTATGGGGAAAGGTTGAGAGAGCTGGTACTGTTTAGCCTGGAGAAGAGAAGTCTGAGGGGGAGAATCTCAATGTACATAAATACCTGAAGGTGCAAAGAGGATGGAGCCAGGCTCTTTTCAGTGATGCTGAGTGACAGGACAAGGAGCAATGGGCCCAAACCAAAACATGGGATGTTCCCTCTGAACATCAGGAAATGCTTTTCTACTGTGACTGTGACCAAACACTGGCACAGGTTGCCCAGAGAGGTTGTGGAGTCTCCATCCTTGGGGGTGCTGCCTGGACATGGTCCTGGGCAGCTGGCCCTGCTTGAGCAGGAAGGTTGGACCAGATGACCTCCAGAGGTCCATTCCAACCTCAACCATTCTATGATTCCTGCTAATCCATTCCTCTGTCCTGTCCAGGTCCCTCTGAATAGCAGCTCTCCCCTCGAGTGTATTGACCACTCCCTCCTCTTAGGTGCTATCTGTAAAGTTTTTGAAAGTGCATTCAGTCCCATCATCCAAAACATTAATGAAGACACTAAATAGTATGGGTTTCAGAGAGACCAATGCATCCAGGAACATTAATAGTCTGGGTATGAGAATGCTGGAGCTGCTGCTTATGCCAGGGAAAAGCAATGCTAAAACTTGCACTATGGAGTTATATACTCCCTAAATTTCCAGACATCTGGTTCCCTTGTTCACTCCTATCCAAGCATTCCTTCTCCTGAAACAGGATGTCCTGCAAAAGGATTTGTCAAGAACCCTAGGGTTTGTAATTTCCTTGACCTGAGAAGATGAAGGCACTTTCTGCATCAGTCTCTCTTGGCTTCAGAGCGGCAGCCTCAGCTGTGCTAAGGAATGCTTTGAAAGGAGCATGTAGTTTGGGTTTGAATTCGGACATACTGCGAAGCTCTTAAGTCAAAGTTGAGTGGCTCAATCTTGACAGCAGGACCCTTAGAGAGACTTATTTCATGCTTCACATGAGAAGACAGTGGAACCAAAAATCTGGCTGATAGGTTTTCTTTTTCAGTAGAGCCTGTGTTGTTTTGTGGATATAAGTAATAAAAGCTTAGCACAAAGGAAAGGCCTTTTCCTCAGGTTACCGTTCTGACATACCTCAGACAGCAAGTATGTGCGTTCAGATGGAAGCCTACCACACTGAGATAAGTTTATCTTCAGGTCATTTGCATTGAAACTGAATGGACAACTTTCCCTAAAACACAGCACAGCATAGAAATCTATGTAAAATTCGCTCTCTAAAATATCTAAACTTGCATGCAAGCAACTAAATATGCTCCATTTGGATTGGGGGGGTATCTTTTTAAACTTCTGCAGGAAATATGCTCTGGAACAAAAGTATCTATATTAGCAGCTAGTTTGGGAAAATAAAAATGTTTGAATTAGAGAATAAATTTAGTGGTAAATTGTTCTCTGAATATTTTGGTGAGGGAGCTCAGCTTTTCTAAGTAGTACTCAGATATCAACAGTCCTAAGAGTACACACCGCAAGTGGGAATATGGAAAAGATAACTTGTGAGGGAATGTCAGGAATATTTCAGTCAGCTTGATTTTTTAAGTAGCAGGTACTCAGCTATTCTTCATTGAGAACCATGTTGAACATCTGTTTGAAAGGGGTTTACTGGAATGCCCCCATTTTAAATGCTAAAAACTATTTTAAAGGGGAAGGTGTCTAAAAGCAGTTTGCTCAGATACTGAACTATATTATCCTTAACTTGATTGAATAAGTAGGGAAAACTTCAGTAGGTAATGTTTGAAAATATTATAACTATGCAAAAAAAAAGAATTTAACTAAACTGCTTTACAAACTTCACTAGTGCTTAATAGCTCTCTGCTAAAATAACAGCAGCCTGTGAAATCATGGCACTTATTTGTAGCATTATTACTGTTTCCTGGAGGCTGTAGCCACCTGAGCTACAGGATCACGCAGGCGTAGAATATATATATGGTGGTATCATATAGATATGGCATAGTTTGGGAGGTTTTTAATTACAATCGTGGTAATGCAATTAAATCTTGCATTATTTTATATATTACAAGAATAGACTGTCCTGTTGACTTGTTCTTCTAAATTATTCAGGAATCTGAAGCTTTGTTCCTCAAGGCAATTAAAGCCAATCCAAATGCTGCCAGTTATCATGGTAATTTGGGTAAGAGCCTTTCTAACTCTTATCAGCTTTATCGTTTGTTTGCTTCATATTCATTGTGTTTAAAAAGAAAAAGCAATCTTTTGAGCCTTCTTCCTGCTGGGCAGATTTCTATTTTACTTCCTAGAAAAACTGCCAGCCAGAAGAACAGGGCACTAAACCAGAAAAGCTGTCACACAATATGACAGATCAAGAGGGCTGCACAATCCAGCCCAGAGGTAGCTGCACTTCAGTGTCTGCAAATTGGTTCATTTATGCTATGCTTGTAACCTGCAATGAGCTCACCAGATAAGAGCTGCCATTTATGGCTGCAATGTAATTCATTCCTTCATCATTCCCATGCCAGTTCTGCTCCCAGGCTTTGCTCCTGCATTTGGCAACAGAACAAGCAGCTACTGTGCCACCAGCCAGCGAGAGACCCTCACTGGAAACAAATGCTTTAATGTTGTTTTCCAAGTGATTGGCAAGACTGCACGTTATTCAACAATATTGCTAATGAAATTCCTCATTGATGTTCCAGCTGTGCTTTATCATCGCTGGGGAAATCTTGACTTAGCAAAGAAGCACTATGAAGTCTCTCTGAAGCTTGATCCTATGGCACCCGGGACCAAGGAAAACTACAACCTCTTAAGAAGAAAACTGGAGCAATTGCAAAAGAAAGGCGGTGCCTGATGTTTTTTTCAGGTTGTCCGTGCATGCTGTTTACGATTAATTTTACATGGGTACTTTTGGCCATGTAAAGGATTCAGTCATTATTTCTCAAAAATAATACCACCACCAGCACTGCACACTTGAATGTCCAATTATGTCCTCCTACAGATCCTAACATTTCAGCTGCACTTTGGGGGATCATTTTATTTTTACTCTTGAACTGCTTTTAAACTCCCTTAGAACATTTTTATAGGTATATGAAAGCAATGCAGATGGAATTTCACAGCTTTCACTTGTAATTTGGTATCTTCATCTGACTTTTTAGTAGCAGGATGAATATCAGAAGGCAGTTTTATTTCTGAAAGTGATTCTAAAAAAAAGTGCAATTTCCTGTTTAAATCCTGATCTTTTCAAGTATGAAGAGTATCTGTCCACTTCAGTTTTATTACTGCCTTCTACTGCCAGCCCTGCAGAGCCAGTGGAAGAATGGATTCTCTCCAGCACATCAGTCTACCCTTGTAATTTGAGTTATGCCCGTGTTCTTGTTTCTGGCTTCACCCTTCGAAGTGTCAGTTTTGTACAGGAGTAAATGAGGACAAGGATTTGATCATAAACGTTTGTCAGCCAGTGTACTGCTGAGGTATGCTCAAGTGGAGAAAATACTCTCTAAGACGGAGGTTTTAGCAAGCAGCAAAGAGAAGAGAAGTGTGAGGTGACAGAGGAGTCAGCTAGAGTTTCTGTTCTTGCAGACAGCCTCATCTAGCATAGACAACTTGGGCAACAAGTCAGAATTGCTTTAGCTCCTGCCGTAGGTCAGTGGTCTAAATACAGTATAGTGTCTACAGGAGCTACTTCCTGTGTTGTCAGGCATTTCAATCCTCTCTGGTTAAGGACATTACACCTTTCAGCTCTTATATTGGTGAATAAGGAGAGAATTTCTGTAAAAAAGTAAGTAGGCAGAGCACCTGACCTTGGCCGTTGATGTTATTAACTGGAAGGAACTCGTATTCACCTTTGTCTCCCATGGCTCATGCATTTGCTGAAGTGGCAGTTAAATAAGCATAGCTGTTAATGCATAAACTGATCACATGGACGTGGAATGATTCAGAGATGGTACACATTGATACAATGTCACTTTTCAAAATGTGCTGTGCTTTAATACACCTTTAAACTCTGGCTGTCCAGAGGTGTTT